AGTGGTTGGGGGTGGGGGACTGGGGGCAGTAAATGAGATGCAAAGTTTCTCTGCTTGGGATCTGCCTCTGGCTTGTGGATCCAGTTTGGATACTACAAAGAGTCCTTCTTGCTTTGCCCTCTGTGGAATCTGCTGCCCCACAAAGAGTCAGCAATGGAGTCCCCCCAGGGCGTTAAGGCATTCTGTTGCCTTGGTGATGGCCAGTGAGAAATGTCCATTCTCCATGCTGCTTCCTGGGAGAGCATCCACTGAGTCATTCAACGAACATTTATCCAGCTCCTAAAATGTGCCAGGTACTGTTCTAGGCGGGGAGATATATCGGTGAAAAAGAAAGGCAAAAACCCTACTCTTGTGGGACTGCGTTGCGCTGGGGGACAGAATAAATAAGTCAATGACTACATTGTTATTTCAGATGAGAATAAGCACTATAAAAATAAAGCTAGGTAAGGAGGCAGAGAGAGAGACCTCGGGGAAGTGAGAAGAAGACCCCTTCTTTAGGTAGAGGCTCCCACGGAGCTGACATTTGAGTGGAGATTTGAGTGATGTAAAAAGAGAAGCACACAGAGATTTATGGAAACAATGTTCCAGGGAGTGGGAGCAGTCCATGAGGAGGGTATGAACTTGGAGTGTTTGAGGAATAGCAAGAAAGCTGATCTGGAGGTAGCAAGGGGTGGGGAGTGGGGAGAGAGACAGCTGGGGAGGTGGGCAGAGGCCGGGTAAGATGGGATGTTTTCAAAATATGGTGGGAAAGAGCAGGGGTATTTTTTGCAAGGGAACAGGATTGAACACATGGTTTAAAAAGCAGACTTTGCTGGGTGGGGGTGGGTGGGTGAGTGAATTCTAAGAGGCAAGAGAGGAGGCAGAGGGAATAATGAAGAATTGATGGCAGTGGACCAGGAAAGGGACAATGATGGACTAGAGCAAGGTGGGATTAGTGAGGGGTGGTAAGAAGTGGTTGATTTGGGGTTTTTCTTTAAGGGCTTGCTGGCTTGAATGTGGGGGTATTGGGAAAGCAAGTCAAGGATGACCCCAGGTTATTTGGTTGGAGCACCCGGTGAAGACTGGTCATGTCTCCTTAGAAGGCAGCAGGAAGCAAGTTTGGGAGGAGGGAAAAATCAAAAGTTCTCATTTGGCCATATTATAATTCTTTTGCCATAACAAAGTTTTTTTTAAAAAACAGCTTTATTGAGATACAACTTACATACCACACAGTGAACCTATTTAAAGTATACAATTCAATGGCTTTTAGTATATTAATCCACCACTACAATCAACTTTAGAACATTTTCATTACCCCCAAACAAACCTTGTGCTCTTTAGCTGTCACCTGCTGATCCTTCCTTCCCCTTCCCCTAGGCCTTAGGCAAATACTACGCTACTTTCTGTCCCTCTAGATTTGCTGATTCTGGACATTTCCTATAGATGGAATAAGATATGTGGTCCCCTGTGACTGGCTTCTTCCGCTTAGTAGGTTTTCAAGACTCATCTATGTTATGGTGTGCACGATTACTTCATTTCTCTTTATTGATGAATAATATTCCACACTATAAATATTTCACATTTTATTTATCCATTCATCAGTTGATGGGCATCGGGCTATTTCCACCTTTTGGCTATTATGAATAATGCTGATAAGAACACTCGCGTCCAACTTAGTGTGTGGACATAATGTTTTCATTTCTCTTGTGTGTGTACCTAGGAATACAATTGCTGGATCATATGGTAACTTTATGTTTAACAGTTTGAAGAACCATTTTACATTCCCACCAGCAGTATATGAGGGTTCTAATTTCTCCACTTCCTTGTCGACATTTATTATCTGTCTCTTTGATTTTAGCTATCCTAGTGGCTGTGAAGTGATATCGCACTGTAGTTTTGATTTGCATTTCCCAGATGGCTAATGATGTTGAGCATCTTTTCATGTGTTTATTGGCTTTTTGTATATCTTCTTTGGAGGAATGTCTATTCAGATCCTTTGCCCAATTTCAAATTGCATTGTCTATTTATAATAGTTTCTTAATAGATACAAGTTTCAATCAAATACATAACTTGCAATGTTCCCCCTGTTCTGTGAATTGTCTTTTCACTTCCTATAGTGTCCTCTGAAGCACAAATGTTTTTGATTTTGATGATGTGGTCATATTACATGTAAGACACCTAATAGGTAGTTGGGAGGATAACCCTGGGGTTCAAAGGAGAGACTGTGGCTGGGGATGCACATTGCAGAATCATCCGTGTAGAGATAGTATTGAAAGCCACCAGGCTCGATGAGAACATGGAAGAGTGTGTTCTTCTTCCAAGGGGAAGAGAAGAGGGCTGACATTTAAGGGTCAGGAAGGAGAGGCAGAGGGATAATCAAAGGAAGCTCCTGGCTCCTGGAGAAATCCGGGAGGAAGCTATTCAGGAGGGCAGGGTATACTTGGGATATGGCATTGGGTAAACCCAGTCTCATTGCTTCCGCCGCTGAGCACAGGCCCCATCGCAGTATCTCAACCTCAAGTCCCTTCACTGCCACTACAGAAATTTGCTGTGCGTATTCTGTGAGAGTTACCTTAGCCAAACAGGCCTACACACTCAGAATCCCCACTCAAGAAATGCACTTAGAGGAGGAGATTGAAGTACTTAGTTACATAGGAAGATTTATGGCCTTGTTGAGATTAACTCTTGTTACTGTTAATGGATGTGATGGTGCAAAGCTTTGACAGAACATATGTCTTGCTTTATTTTTTAATGGAACACGCTAAAAGCCCCATCCCACAGGTCCAACTAATTACAGAGACTTCAAGATAGAGAGCTCTAAAGGTCTTACCAAGACCACCTTTTCCTTTTGCTGCGGTCACTGTGACTTCCAGGGGTTCTAGGATTTCTGACATCAATAAAAGGACTTTTGAAACAATAGTTCAAAGCCACTAAAGTTTGCTCCTGTTAAGGTGTATTTAAAAACTGCCGAGGAGAGAGGGGCCGTGGCTCTCACAACACAACATGGTTTGTGGGTATTCTCATTCACAAAGCCCAGCTACACTTGAGGAATCCTATTTTCTGCAAGATGTGTGATTTTTAAGGCTGGCTTTAAATGTAACATGCTCCAGGTCAAAGGAAAACATCCCGACTCTGTAATGAAGCACAGAGTGAAGGCAGACAGATCCCCTCTGGGCTTGAGCTGAATCCCAGAAGAGTTGGAGAATCAGTTTAGCTTTGACATCAGTTTACCTCTTAATCTTTCAGCTCAACTTCTAGAGTACACAATACACTTCTTTGTTGACTTCCCTCCTTCCTCCTCAGCCATCAGGAGCTCCAATTTACCTGCTCGTTCACGTTCTTTTTCATCTGCCAAGGGACCACAACGTGAAGGGCCAAGTGGGACAGTGGCTTGCATACAGAAATATCCAGAAAAATAGGGCAGAGATCAGAAGAGCATGTGGAGGCTTTGCTCTTAATAAGCAGTGCTGCTAATCTGGTGACCTTCAATGGGGTCTCCTGGGGTCCTGGTTAGGTAGGGGTTAGAAATATGGGGAGTGAGAGGGGGTGCAAGAAGTGAGAAGGGCAGATCCTTATCAGTGAACAGAATTCTGAAACGTTGGAACTGGTTTCCCCAGAGATGAGGGAGGACTGTTCAAAGAAGTTTCCCTGTCCTCCCCTGGGATTGCAAATGTTAACGGGGTGGGGTGGGCTCCGAGAGAGGAGCCCAGTGTGGGCTAGCGGAGGACCTTTAAATCCCGTGGGGCTCATTTGGTATAAATCAGAGGTTCTGTCATCTCTGATCTCAGGACTCTGCATCTTGGTTATAAATAACATACCTGGATGGAAGTGCGACAAAACCGGGGACATCTTTATAGGGAAGGCCCGGGGTCCCGGAAGGGGGCCACAGAGTAGGAAGAGGACTCCCCTTCTTGCCCACAACAAAGTCTAACTTTTCTCCCCGGGGAATAGTGTTGGGGTGGGAGGAGGGTCCCAGAGGAACTGCGGGAGAGGCCAAAACGTAACTATGAAAGGAGAGTAGGGCTTTTGACAGAACCATCAAGTCACCGAGAAAAAAAAATGGTTAGGAATTGCCCCTATGTGGCAGGAATTGCCCTGCCGAACCGGAAGGTTTGCAGATAGACTCCCCCCAAACCCCCACTGTAGCTCACTCCAGCTCGGGGACCCTTCTTCAGTGCCCCCTGCGTCGGCGGCCTCCCCCTGCACTCCCAAAGCGTGTACCCAGAGAGAGGGGTCCACCCCAGAGAAGAGACAGAGGTACAGGTGGTGAGCGCGGACTCAGCCGCCATCCCCCTCAGTCCACCGCCCCTCCCCGCGCAGTTGCCTGAGCAAATCCCGAGTAATTGTTTTCCGGGGAGGGGCTGGGCGCGCTCCGTGGCGCCGCCAGGGTCAGGGTTCCCGTGGAGCGGGGGGGGGGGGGAAGCCCACCCGCGAGGGCTCGGCGTTTCTTCGCCTCGGCCGGGATGAACTGTGGCAACTTCGGCAGCCCCCACCGCGGCGGCGAAGCAGAGCCGGCGACAGTGGCGAGGCCAGCTCGGCTGGGCTGGAGCGCGTGAAGCCGAGGAGGCGCCTGGCGTCTTCGGCGTCTCCCTTTCGGCCGCGCGTCCCGGGACTCCAGGTTGGGTGCTCCTGGTAGCAGCGGCTTCCGCGCCTGCCGTCCGGGTCCTCGCAGCTTGGCGGACGAAGCAGGAGAACCCGATCCCGGCGACGAGCGCAACCTGCAGGAGGGGCCGAGCCCCGCGCTCCCGCCCTAGCTCCCAGAAGGGCGCAGCCGCAGCTGGGGGCCGGGGCCCGAACCCCGCGCCGCTGCCGCCCGCGGTGGGGGGCGGGCTGGGGGCGGGGCGGCCGGGGCCGCCTTGCTGGGCGCGATCCCCGAGCGCAGCACCCGGCGCTGCCGAGCCTCCTCCCCCGCCGCCCGCTAGCAAGTTTGGCGGCTCCGTGCCCGGCGCGCCTCGGGATCCAGGCGCATTTGTTTCCTCCTGGTTTCCGCGCGCCCCGTTTGGCGGGGACCCTCGGGAGCGATGCCGAGGGATGTGATTTTAGTTGTGTGGTTCTGTGTGTGCACCGCCAGGACAGGTAAGCACCGCTGGGGCGGTCGGAGGCATCCCGGGGGAGGGGGAGCCGCGCCGCTGTGCCCAGTGCCTGCACAGGCGTTGGGAGACCTGGAGACGAGCTCCGCGCTGGCCCGGGAAGGGCGGCGCGGCGTGGATGGGTCCCTCGGATCTCTCTGCCCTGCTCCAGGTGAAAGGGTGAGAAGTGGGACTCACGGGCTGGAAGATGCCCCCATGAGTGCCCCCTTCCTTGGAGACGCGGCCTCGAGGACGCCGGAGTGAGGGGCGCGGCCGAGCCGGCGCACCCTCCTGCTCCTAGTAACCAGCTTCCGGGTCGAAACCACAGCAGGTTCGGCCCGTGAGCCCCACAGCCCCGAACTTGAAAGGTGCGGTGGAAACCGCTCTCCCTGCGCGGGGCCGGGCCGGGAAGTGGCAGCCGCGGGAGTCGCACCCGCAGAGAGAGCGCTTCCGGCCGGCGGGCAGGCGTGGCTGCGGCCGGGGAGGGCACGGCACGGGTGAGGGCTGCGGGCGAACCGCGGGATTCCGTGGTCTCGCCTGGTCCCCTCCTGACTCTCCCCAGGGGAACTCCAGGAGCATTCTCTCCCCCTCCACCCTGTCTCCAAGGGCTGGACGAACAGTAATTCGGGGGAATTGGAACCGTGGAGACAGTCCAGGGAGATTTTCTCAAGCTCCCAACCAGTTTTCCCTTGCTATAACTGCAGGCTGGGGATTGTGGAGGGAGGACGAGGATAATTGGCGTAATTTCTGAAGTCCCCCCTTCGTTCTGCCTTCAGAGACGCAGTTGTGAGGACTCGTAAGAGCACCTCCTTCCATCCGCTCCCACTCGCCCCCAGCCCCCCTTATCTCCTGGGGTTTGGAGACCCTTTCTCAGTCGTCTTCTCCCCGGGTCTCAGGAGAGGTGGGAAGGTGGGGTGGGGCGGGGTGGGGTGGAGTAGGCACAGTATGGACAAAAATACAGCTCTCCCATGCTGGGGGTGGGGGTGGGAGCGTGGCGAATTTTTATTCCTGTGCTAGCCAGCCTTAGCACGCGCTGCCGACCTTGCACCCCAGAACCGGCGTGTAGTCAGTCACCCCTCTCTTTATCTTTTCTTCTTTTACCACTCGCATTTCCCTTTCTAGAGGCATAGCCTGCATCCCAGGCCAGGCAGCAAGTTTATGGGGAAGGGGCTGGGGAGGGTGCCGTGCCTTGGTTGGCCTGAAAGTTCCCTCCGCCTGTGCCCCAGGCGCCCCTCTTTGGCACTTAGCCCGCCTGAGGATACAAAGTTGGGCGTCTAGAGGTTCCTGCTGGTCTTTTCCATTTACCCAGGTCTGAGAGGGTAGCAGCTTTCCTGTTGCTTAATGGAAGAGCAACGGGTTTGGACTTCTCCAGGGACAAAAGGAATCCTCCTGCCTTTTCTGTCTTCATCTGAGCTTCCCATGGTTGCAGGGACGGCAAGGCTCAGTCCAGTCTAGAATAGTTGCTTCTTGGGTGTGGGCACATAGGGATCGGCTAGGCTTTTAAAACCAAGAGCACACTTGAAGAAATGTGTCCCCAGAAAATCAGGACGGGCGAGGCTAGTGCAGAAACTGGGCTACCAGTCCCGTGCCTGGAGAATCTGGTGCTGGTGGGCATCTTAATGGAGGGACGGAGGAGAGAGAAACTAGATGGGGGAGGGGCAGCTTCTTGGTCATTTCACATCCTCAAGTGCACATCCTTACCGGTATGCCTAAATCCTTTGTTCTCATTAGTTCTTTGAAAAGTCGGCAAAAAGTGCCCCCATCCAGAATGGACTGTGCCTCCAGGGTGCATTGCTAGTGGAGACCTTGAAGAACAGAGTCTTTTCCCCTTCCGCACACCAACCCCCTTTCAATCTTGTAAAAATTCTGTTGTAGGAGAGATTCATTCATGTATTTATTCACTCATTCAAGGAACAGTTGAGCGCCTTGCTGGGTGCCAGGATTGCTTATGCAGAGAGAAAACGACTTGGTCCTTGACTTCCAGGAACTTAAAGCTTAGCTGAAAGTCTAGGTAGAAACTGGAGAACGTCCTTTTTTTTTTTTTTCCCCTACAGCTTGATGGGAGGGAGCGGGGGCGGGGGTCGTAGGAGAGGAGGGAATATAAGAAGTTTCAGTGGAAGCAATATAGAGGAGAAATGGTAGGAATGAATTTTGGGGAGGGGTGGTTGGTGGTCAAGGAAGGCTTTAATCAGGAGGTGACATTTAGAGTTGTGTTTGAAGGCTTTACAGGGAGTTTTCCAGGTGGGCAGAGTGGGGAAGGCATTCCAGGTAGAGGGCAGAGCCTGTGCACAGGCAGGGGAGCATGGGAGGATCTGCCCTATTGGTTGTGGCAGTTGCTAGGGAGCGTGGGTTTTCTGTGCCCCTTGGCACTTCTTGAACACCAGAGGCCACACATTTCTTCTACAAAAATTATCATAAGAATCAGTATGGGGGGTGGTCTTGGAATTATATCTCAAGTCCTTCACTTTACAATTTCTTGTCTCTTGAAGGGGTATGATCAGCAGTTTTCGGGGGCGGGAGGGGGCAGCCTCTTTGATTTGCCCAGGAACCACCATTCCTGCTTCAAACCTCCACTCTCTTTGGTAGCAGAGGCTGGCTCATGATTAGTTTATCAGGATCCAAACAGCCGCTGGGAAAGTTTATTTGTCAAGTGGGACAATTGTTGTCTGGGCTGTGAACGGTCCAGGATGAAATAAACATGGGGTTCACTTAGTGAGCTGCTCAGATAGCGCCTTTTAATGGAAATGAATAGATGATATCAGGCACATTTTAATTAAAGCAGCCCTGCAGTGCAGTAGCAGTTACATATGAAAAGATCTAATGATAGGTGTCACAGGAAGCTGCTTAAATTGCTCATTGTTCAGGGAACTTGTTTTAAGAGAGTAAAATGGAGGCAAGATAGGAGGTGCTGTTCTCCAGTTCTTGTTATTTCTGGATGAAGGATCACTCTGGGATTTCCAGGTACATACTTAAATAATGACAATTTAGAAGGCTACATTATTTGTGGTAATAACGTATTAAGTCCACGAATTTTCTCCGATGGCTTGACTGTGTGATGAATACAAAATTCCCTTTCCTGTTTGTTTTGGTCACCAGGCCAGGATGGTGGTGGTGGTTGGGGGCTGCGGGGGAGCCCCTGGGGCCCCTTTTGCTGCCTTTTGCTGCCACCTGCTGGAAAGGAGAGCTTTTCCTTTTTGAAGCACTTAACCTGGCTCTTCATTAGCTCTGAAATAATAGAGCTGTGAACAGAGCCCCCAGCCTGCAGTGATTACGTGCAATATTTGGCTGACTTAGAACAGGCATAGAACATATTCTTCAAGGATATTGCTTTTGGGGATCTTTGCAGGAGTCCAGGGGTCTGAATCCTATCAACTGGTTGTGAAATCCTGCTGTTAACTGAGGTCTTGGAGCATCTCTTCAGTATCCTATTTCTCTGTGTTGAGCAGGAGAAAACAGGGGCCATCGCGGACAGTGAGCCCAGATTAGATTTGGAGTGAGCCAGGCCCCAGGAGGATTTGCTTGGGAGCTTATGCCTAGGACCCTGAAGATGTACTGAATGGTCTTTGGGCCTGAGCACTCCCTGGGCAGGACTGTGGGGTGGCCAACAAATAGCAGGTGTAGATTAGGGTGGAGGTTCTGAATCCCAGAGCCAGGCCCCAAGTGCTTCTCCCATGGTGACATACTGCCTTCCAGGTTTTAAAAAATGTTTCTTCCCCAAGAACAATTCCCCAATTTATCCTGCTTAATTCTAGTTCCCAGCCTCAGCCATTTGTAGAGTAGCTGTGGCCAAAGTAGAGAACTTTAATAGTTTCCTTGGAAAGGGCAGGAGCTCCATGCTTGGACAAGAAGCAGAAACATTAAAATAAAAAAAATTATTTTTATGGAACCAACGCTGTCATACTGCATAAGGTTCAGGAGAGGCCATGTAAATGCTATCTTATTAATAGATTTTCTGGTTCCCTAGGCAGTGTGTAAAGTGCTCTCTTTTACACATCCTGCTGTTGGCACAAGGCATTTTCATCCTGAAGGAGACCAATTAAAGGGGGGGAGAAAAGTGTATCCGGAAGCCTAATTGATTTCTCTTGTTCTGTTTTTATGGGATGTTTTCATAACAAGAGCAATACAGTTATCTTAAAACCAGGGGATCCCTTTACTTGTGGGCTATAGGAGGAGGAATGAGTGTAGACTTAATATTTAGATTTCCCTAAGCGCAGCCAGAGCAAGAAGCCCTTCCAGGTCAGTTGGGCATGTGGAGGGCTTGGGAGGAAGGGGGACATCTGTACGTTTCGCGCAATTCCAGTGGAGTTGAGGACCAGGGAGCTGTCTTATGAAAGACAGATGCTGCAAAGCACAGCTGGGCACCACGTACGTGCTAGTCGTGTTCCACATAGTTATTACCAAAACCTTAGGAGGCTGGGAGGCAGGTATGATCATCCTCATTTTACAGATGAGGGAACTGAGGCTCAGAGAAGTGAAGTTGTTTTTCTAAGAGTTAATAGGGGGAAGAGACAGGACTGAAACTGGCTCTTGGTTTAGTATTGTTTCCGCAACACTTTGTGGATGGAGTGTGCTGTGTTCTAATTTGGGGACAGGGATCCAAGGGCACCAGTGGGGTGTTCTGCTAGTTCTACAGAATCTGTTTGGGTGCCTTTTAGGCTTGTCTAGTTGCAGGGCTCCTAGTCTGGGAGCATTTTAAGGATGATGATTATAGTGGGTCTTCAGTCCCTGCTTCGGTCAACTACTACCACAAGAATATCGCATACCAAACCATCCAGAACTCAGTGGCTTAAAACTACATTTGTTTTGGTTCACATATCTGTAGGTTGTTCTGTTCCTGGCTCATCTAGGTCAGGTTTGGCTGGGCATGGTGCCAAACTCAAGTGGGATGTCTGCTCTATGTGTCTCCGTCTCCTTGGACCAGGGGAGCAGTGAGGCCATGTTCTTTTCATCATGGTGCAGAGGTACAAGAGAACAAGCCCTGCCCCACAAGCACGTTCAGGCCTCTGCATGTGTAACATTGCTAACACCCCAAGCATCCCAATGATCCAAATAAGTTAGATGGCGAGTCTCAAAGTCAAAGGATGCAGAGGTTTACTTTCACTCTAGTGGAAGGAACTGCAAAGCCACGCAGCAAAGGGTGTGGATCTGGGAGGGGTAAAGATTTGAATCCAATAATCAAGTCAACCACAGGTTTTTTTTTTTTTAATTTTTATTTATTTATTTGACACAGAGAGAGAGAGAGAACAAGCAGGGGCAGCAGCAGAGGGAGAGGGAGAAGCAGGTTCCCCGCTGAGCAGGGAGCCCACTTCGGGGCTCGATCCCAGGATCCTGGGATCATGACCTGAGTCAAAGGCAGCCACTTAACCACCTGAGCCACCCAGGCGCCCCTCAACCACAGATTTTTTAAAGATTGTTTTCTTGGCCTGAATGCCATCCTGTTGTCTGGTGGTATCCCTAGATATGCATATTGCTTGGAGCTCATTGTACCCGAAGCAGTGATGGTGCGCACATTCATCAGTTAATTATTTAGGTCCTAAATTCAGGGAGTACCAGCTATTAGCCCCTGTGCAAGGCAGTGGGGCTCCAGGGACACTTCTGTCTTCTCCTCTCCAGCTACGGGCACGTTCCCCAGCTCACTTTCCGAATTCCTAGCCAGAGAAAGACCTGCTTGGAAGTCCTCTGAGATCTCTCTTGATTTAATTTTTGCCTTATAGTTGTACAACACTATAGATCAAACTGAAATATTAGTTCTTTTCCTGCCTTTTCAAGGTGATCACAGAACTGCTGATATCTGAGCTCATTTGGAGAAAAACATCACCGTGACTTGGGCTGATAGACACCCAGTGGCTCAGTCCTTCTTTGCACGGAGTAGGTATTCCACCAGCCTTTGTGAATGGAGTCTGTGTGAGGGATGAGCAGGTAGGATGGGAACTTACGTGAGATCATGATGTAAAGTAGGAGCATCTTCTCCTGCTCTTCAACACACACCTGAAGCCCTCCAATGATTTCCTAATTGCAATTAGGATAATATCCATCTCCTTGCTGTGGCTCAAAAAGCAGGCCCTACTCTTTGGCCTCATTTTCGAACACTCTCTCTCCCTGCCCATTCTGCTCCAGACACACTGGCCTTTTATCTGTGGTCCGAACGTGCCAAGTCTGTTCCTGGTTTGCAGTGGGCTATTCTCTATCCCTGGAAAGCTGTCCCCCTCCAGATCTTGCCACTGCCAGCCCTGCAGGCATTCAGGTTTCCGCTCAAAGGAGCCCTTCCTGACTGTCCTTTCTAAAGCCCCACCCAAGTTGCTTTGTATTCCATGACTGTTTTATTTTCTGCATGGCATTTATTGCCATCTCAGATGATTTTATCTATTTTTTTTTTTTTTTGCCTCCTCTTCACTTGTTAGCTCAGGACTGCGTGCTCTGTGAGGACAGCTCCAGTCCCCAGCACTGTGTGTTACATCGTAAGCGCTCACTAATACCTGTTGAAAAGGTACTGCATGGATGAATGGATGCAGAATGGAGAGAAGGAAGAGCTGTCCTTGAGTAAACTGGTCTCATAACGAACGGGCTGCATTTGGAAGGGGGAAATTGAACCTTTAGTTCAGAAGGCGAGGAGAAACCGAGAATGCAGTTTATGCACTGTGCCTTCAGTTTAACCCTTTGTCTGCCTTGGCAAGCCTGCCTAGCCCAACCTTCTGTTGCTATAGTAGCTCCTGTTTTCCTCATAGGAAAAGAGTAAGGAGAGGGCAGATTTCCTTCCCCAAATCTGTGGGGTGAGGGGTGAAGGCGGGAGGACAGAGGAGGTTGTAATAGTCCACGATGTCCTGATGAACATCCATTCACTCAGTCTCTCTGGGACAGATTGGGTTTCCAGGTCTTGCCTCGGCAACTGCTTTGCCATCAGACAGAAGTTGACAGCCATAGCTGATTAAAACATTTCCGACTGGGCAATCAGAATCGCACTCCTGAGATGTTAAGTGTAGATAGATGCTGCCTTTATGAATGGCTTGCCCACAGTCCCTTCCAGTGATCTCTAGCCTTATTAATACCTATCATTGGAAGTCACTTTGCAATCATGAGTGTGTCATTGCACAGAATGCCCCCTGGGTGAGAGACAAGCCTTCACCTTTTGCCTTTCTCAGATCGGGCGATAGGGGGCTCTTGGCCATGTTTCTCTGAACTAAGGTTCTCCAACACAGTTGTCCGGGAATTTAACTTTCCATTCAGGGATCCCCTTGGAGGGAACATACATCTCTTGTTTCACTTTCTGGGCCACTCCCTCCGCCACCCTGCTCCAACAGGGGCATGGCCCTCCTGGGCATCATTGTATCACGGCTGTGCCTGATGCAGAGGGAGCGCCCTGTGGAGGTGGTGTCAGGTTTTGCTGCTGCATCAGTTTGGGAAGCGGGTAGATCAGGGCCACGATCCTGTAGCCACAGTCCCCAGATCTGAAAAAGTTTGGAAGCCCGAAGTTTCTTCATAACTCATGTGACAGCAAAAGCTACCCTGAGCTGGACTCATTTGGTGGCGAAACTTGACCTCAACTGACAGGAGGCTACATAGAGTCTTTGTTTTGCCCGCTAGAAGAAAACAGCATACTTCTTGGTCCAGAAATACTGTGTTTGATTATGGGGTACTGATTCAGACTTTGCTCAGGGTGTTACATAAAATGTAGTTTTTAGGGCATATTACCTTTCCAACATGATACGTTCTGAATCTGGGATCTACTTGGCTCTGAGGGTGTTGGATGAGGGATCCTCAATCCATAATGAATGGGGAGTGAGGGTGGGGGAGGGGACAAAGAAACTCCAATATCACGGGGGCCGTGGAGCAGAGTTGTTCTCCCTCTGCACTCCAGAAGTTTGCATCTCCACACGCTCATCACTGGCTTCCTTGTATTCGCTGCCACTCCAGGCGTCTGTAATTTCTGTTCTGTTTTGCTGCTAGCAGTCTGTATTTGAAGCCAAGACGGCTCTCTGTTCTTTTTCAGTGGTGGGCTTTGGGATGGACCCTGACCTGCAGATGGATATTATCACCGAGCTCGACCTCGTGAACACCACCCTTGGAGTCACTCAGGTGTCCGGACTTCACAATGCCAGCAAAGCATATTTATTTCAAGGTAAAGGCACCTCCTCCTTTGCATGGAGGCAGAACTTGGGGAGGAGCATCTGTCTGGGGAGTGTTCATGTGGGTGGTGTGTGTTTGTCAGAGGATCACCTCTGCGATTTCTCTTGTGTTATCGTCATAAGGTATGTTCAGAAATGTCAAGAGTATTCGGATAACCGAGGGGTGTTCTGAGGGTGGGATGGAGGCACTGGAGGCATGGTTGTGAAGTATTTGGTTTGGCGGTGAAATATTTCCTTGGGTGTTTTGGTGGGGGTCTCAAGTTGAGTGAAACCGCAAAGCCCTTGGAAGCCATTGGCCAGCCACATTATTTTTACAGGTTATGTCTTCAACTGTCATCTATATCTTTACCTGTGTTTGTACTATATCTACACCTATTCCTTTTTTTTTTTTAAAGATTTTATTTATTTATTTAACAGAGAGATAGTGAGAGAGAGAGCACAAGCAGGGGGAGTGGGAGAGGCAGAGGGAGAAGCAGGCTCTCCCCCACGGAGCAGGGAGCCTGATGCGGGGCTCGATCCCAGGACCCCGGGATCATGACCTGAGCTGAAGGGAGACGCTTAACGACGGAATCACCCAGGTGCCACTGCACCTATTCTTATTCATATATATCTCTCTCCTATTTAATGGGTACATGAGCACAGAGGATGTTTTATGGCTGTATTCTCTTAGGGGTGCAGCTTACTTGGTTCTCAGTTATCAAGGGACTGTAGTGTGCTTCTTAAAAGCCCAACTGCCTGAGATCAAATTCCAACCCTACCACTTACTGGCTTTGAGACTTTGGGCAATCCCTTAGCCTTACTGTGCCTATGTTCTCATCTAAAATACTAGTACCTACCTCATGGGGCTGTTACAAGGATTAGAGGAGCTACTCCAACGAAATGGTTAAAACAGTGTCTGAAACCTGTAGTAGACCTCCAGTAAGTCCTAGCTATTAATATGGAACTCGTGCTGTGTACCAGGCAACATGCTAATAGGATTACCAGCAAGAGTAAATAAAGATAGGTGCAGGCCGTTCTAAAATGTAGTGAAAGAAACAGTCATTGCACAGGGAATTATTGAATTACAATAGCTGTCCTTACTATGAAGGGGATGTATAGGCTGCCAAGACGAGTAGTACAGGGAGATCTGATTTAACCAGGGTGGAGAGATAGTAGTGGTCAGGTAAAGGTTACCCTGAAAATGGATGTGTCGGCAGAGACTTGAAAAATGAATAGCAAGCCTGGTGTAGGGGGAGGGGTGGGAGTTCAGAGCACTCTGGGCAGGGAAAATAGTATGTAGGAAGGTCTGAAGGCAGAAACCGATAGCAAGGTGTCTAGTGTGGCCAAGGGGTGGCAAGTGTCTGGAGAGGCAGGGAGGGGCTGGGTTACATTGGACCCCGTGGGCAGAACTGATATTTAGCTGATATCCAGGGGCTTAGATACACTGATGATTCATGGCCAGTATCCGTTCTGATAGGTGGGAGGCCATGTATACTTGTGAACGATTGTAATTCTTATCCTCGCTTGTGGTGCCAGGTTAGTGGTTTCGTACTTCACTCTCAGAGCAGTGGGGGCCTTTGCGGAGGTTGCTGCAGGGGAGTGAGCTGATTAGATATGATAGTCAGGCAATTTGGGCATTCCTCTGTGAAAACTTCTGGCAGGGTTCTTTTAACTCAGCCTTTTGTCAAGATGGCAAAAGGATTATTTTAGAATGGCTGGACCAATAGTAAGAGATGAGATTTACATATATATACTGTAGAGATCACTTAGGCCTTGTTAATGGTATATAATAAATCTACAGATATTATATGATGATACATAACAAGACTATGGATATGCTAATTTCCATTTATTCTTACTAAGGGATTGGTGAAGTTCCTAAGCTGGGTGTGGTTAAGAGAATACAGTTGGAATTGCTTTTCTTTTTGCCTTGTACAAGGTCTGCTCAGTTACTGTTGAGAGGTCATGCTTCATTAAGGCAGAAGTCATTTCTATTTAGATTCATCCCTACATCCCTTGAACCAAGTACCATGCATGGCATGTAGTAGGTTACAAATACACATTTTTAACTGAATTAAAATTTCCTCTGGCCTATGTGCTCCTTTACTTACCACTCATTCACTTATTTATTCCACAAACGTGGGCTTCTTAGGCAAGAATTCTGTTACTTTGTGTGTTCTTTGCTTTGGCAATTACCTCTGGGATGTGTAGCAGACTCCAGCCATGGGGAGGGATTTTCAGCTTCTTTGGTGGAAAGAGTAACTTCATTATGGGAGGTTGACCGAGGACTTTCCCTAAAGGACCCTTGTGATTATATTGGGCCTAACTGGATAATCCTGCATAATCTCTCCACCTCAAGATCTGTAATTTAATCATATGCTCAAATCCCTTTTGCAATGTAAGGTAACATAGTTACATGTTCTCGCAGTTAGGACGTGGACATCTTTGGGGAGCCATTATTTTGCTTATCACACCATCTACCCTCTAGTCCCCAAGGATTCATGTCTGTCCCACACGCAAGATACATTCACCTCACCCCAATATTCTCCAAAAGTCTCAGCCCATTGTGGCATCAGCTCAAAGTCCAAACTCTTATCCGATCTTGTCAGCTGAAAAATTCCAAACCTGATTATCTAAATAATCTAAATTAGGTATGACTGACTCTGAGTGTCATAAATTTGGGGGCAAAACTCCTCTCCATCTATGGATCTGTGAAGAGTAGGAAACAGGTAATTTGCTTTCCAAATACAATGTTGGGACAAGTGTAGGTTGCTTATTATAGATAGCCCTGCTAATAGAAAGGAAATGGGAAGAAGAAAGGGGCCACCAATCCCAAGAAATTTTGAAATCCAGCAAGGCAAACTCTCCTGAGTTTTGGGGCTTAGGAATAATCCTGTGTGGTCCTTGGCTCTGCCTTCTGGGCCCATGACTCATTCCTTTGAGTTATTCTTCCTTTTTCAAGCAGAGTAGCACGTGTTTGTGGTTGAGTAGTTTTATCAGCCTGTTCCCTGCCTGTAGAATTATCAAAGTCCTTCAGCTTTTTCTCATTTCATCCTTTCAGTTTCCTTCAGTACGAGTTGGCAGTGTTTCTGCTGGTATAACATTCTAGGAACCTTTAGGGTCTCCTGTCCATGGGACAAGAGGCACCCTACAGATCTTTCTTAGATAGCCCCATCTCTATTCCTGACCTGTGCTGCGATGGCTGAGGGGATGCATGAGTCACATACCTGATCTCTTCAAAGAGCCCTCTGTGTGATTGAATCTTCTGAACTTTTAAAAAAATTTTTTATTGTTATGTTAATCACCATACATTACATCATTAGTTTTTGATGTAGTGTTCCAAAAAATATGGAACGCTTCACGAATTTGCGTGTCATCCTTGCGCAGGGGCCATGCTAATCTCTGTATCGTTCCACTTTTAGTATATGTGCTGCTGAAGCGAGCACGAATCTTCTGAACTTTTGATCCTTCAGAGGCACTAGCAAAAGGTTGTTCAGCTACACCTGTGGTTTTCACCCCAGAGCAGAATTTCCTCGCAGTGAATCTCCTCATTTTGTTGTCTTTTGCAGTCCAAATAAGCTGAGAGCTCCTAGTTTCTTCCTGCTCATCAGCTCATCCCTCCATCTCTCTCTTTTCTCTCATCTTTTACTCTAAGCAGCAAGGAGAAACCAGACTGCATCTTCAGCACTTTGCTTGGAAGTCTCAGCTAAATGTCCAAGTTCATCTTTTACAAGTTTTGCTTTCTGTATTACTCCAGGGCACGATTCAGCTAAGCTTTCTGCCATTATGTAACAAAGATCCTGTGTCTTCCGGTTTCCATTTCCTTTTTAGCCCTTACAAGCATCGTTTTTAATGTCCATGTTTCTACTAATGGTCTGTTCACAATGATTTAAAGTATTCCCTAAGATGATATGGGTTTTCTCTACCATGCTGTTTACTTCATTTTGAGTTCTCACTAGCAGAGTCTTTAACATCCATATTTCCACTAAGGGTCTGTTAGTGGCAGACTAGGTTTTTTTCTTCCATGCTCTTCAAAATTTTTTCAGCTTCTGCTCATTATTCAATGCCAGAGCCACTTCCGTATTTTTAGTTACTTGTTACAGTAGCATCCCACTTCTAGGTGCCCAAATCTGTATTAGTTTCCTGTTGTTGCTGTAACAGATTATCATGAATTTAATGGCTTGACACAAAACAAATTTAGTATCTTATTGTTCTGGAGGTCAGAAGTCCAAAATGAGTTTTAGGGGGCTAAAATCGAAGTGTTGGCAGAGCTCTGTTCCTTCTGGAGTCTTTACAGGTATTTAGACCATTTATATTTAATGTCATTATTAATATGTTTATATTTAAATACGTCTTTTTGCTATTTTCTACTTGTCCCATGTATTCTTTATTCCATTTTTTCCACTTTTTGGCTTCTTTTGGATTAACTGAAGTTTTTTCTTTTAATGATTCCATTTAATTTCCTTTGCTGGCTTATTATCTATAACTCTGTTTCATTATTTTAGTGGTTGCTTTAGTCTTTATAGTATATATCATTAAATTATTACAATCTACCTTCAAGTAAGAGTATAAACTTCATGTATATTATAAGAACATTTCAAAGGTTTACTTCTTTTTTCCTGGTCATCGATCTGTGATCACACATTTTATTTCCCATACAACATTGTTATTTTTCTTTAATCAGTCAATTATCTTTTGAACAGATTTAGATAATAAAATCAATCACATATTTACTCATGTAGTTACTATTTTCTGTGTTTTTCGGTCCCTTGTGTGGATTCTTATTTCCATCTGGTATGGTTCTCATCCTTTCTGAAGGATTTCCTTTAACATTTCTTAGTAGTGCAAGTCTGCTGGTGATGAATTCTTTTGGATTTTATATGTCTACAAAAAGTATTCTGTTTTCATTTTTTGAAAGATATTTTTGCTGGGTATGGAATACTGGGTTGACAGTTTTTTTTCTTTCAGTACTTTAAAGATGTTGATTCATTGTCTTCTCATGTGCATTGTTTCC